TTTACTTATCAGATAAGGTTAACGGCTAATTAAGAATGTGTGAGGTTAGACTGGTGGTCCAAACTACGCATTAATATAATACATATTTATCTAATAGTGTTCTGCACCTCCTGCTCCTCAATATGCCTAGTTTGTAACACACTATATAATAAATATTTGATTTTTATAGTTCTGTGATTTGTGATCTCTCTCGTTAAAGCAAATATTCATTTTGGTGTTGTTAATGCCAATAACTGTTTAAAGTTTGAAAAAATTCAATCTACAATCATTTCAAAATGGGGAACTTTGTGCCACTTAAAATTTATAAAAATATTTAGAACTGCAAATTTTAAATTGCAATTATATTTTATTATTGTGTCATCTAAATTTTAAATTTGTTTTAAACCTCTTCACATGTACTTCCACAGTATTTTGCATCACCTTGTTTTTATGTCCTCAAAGGGTGATTTTTCCATGTTCATTCCATCATAGGAAGATTAGGCGAGGTCTAACGTACAGACTCCACATCTGAGGCTTGAATACCCTTTGCTATCCAAGGGGGATTGGTTCCAGGACCTTCTATAGATACCAAAATTTAAGGATGCTAAAGTCCCCTATATAAATTGGTGTAGTATTTGCACATAAATTAAATACATCCTGCCTTATACATTGAAGCATCTCTAGATTATTAATAATTCATAATAAAAATTAATGCAATGTAAATAGCTGCTGGATTGCCATAAATCAAAGTTGCGCTTTTTGGAATTTTCTGGAATTTTTTTTTGTATATATATATATATATGTATATATATATATATAATATTAAAATTTATTGAAGTACAGTCTAGTGATTTACAATGCTGTATTAATTAATTTCTGCTGTACAACAAAGTGACAGTTATATATCCTTTTTCAAATTCTTTCCTATTCTATTCCACTATGGTTTATCACGGGATATTAAATATTGCTGTTATTATTTTTCAGTTGCTCAGTCTTGTCCAATTTTTTGTGATCCCATGGACTGCAGCAGGCCAGGCTTCCCTGTCCATCACCATTCCTGGAGCTTGCTCAAGCTCATGTCCACTGAGTTGGTGATGTCATCCAACAATCTCATCCTTTGTCATCCCCTCATCTCATCCTTTGTCATCCCCTTCTCCTTCTGCCTTCAATCTTTCCCAGAATCAGGGTCTTTTTCAATGAGTTGGTTCTTCCCATAAGCTGGCCAAAGTATTGGAGCTTCAGCTTCAGCATCAATCCTTCCAATGAATATTCAGGGTTGAATTCCTTTAGGATTGACTGGTTTGATCTTGTAGTCCATGGGACTCTCAAGAGTGTACAACACCACAGTTCAAAGGCATCAATTCTTTGGCACTCAGCCTTTTTTATTGTCCTACTCTCACATATATACATGCCTACTGGAAAAACCATAGTTTTGACTAGGTGGAACTTAGTAGGCAAAGTAATGTCTCTGCTTTTTAATTCACTGTCTAGGTTTCTTATTGCTTTTCTTCCAAAGAGCGTCTTTAATTTCATGGCTGCAGTCACTGTACGCAGTGACTTTGGTACCCAAGAAAATAAAGTCTGTCTCTGCTTCCATTTTTTTCCCTATTTATTTGCCATGAAGTAATGGGACTAGATGCCATGATCTTTGTTTTTTAAATGTTGAGTTTTAAGCCAGCATTTTACTTCCTTGTTCACCTTCAGCAAGAGGCTCTTTAATTCCTCTTTGCTTTCTGCCATAAGGGTGGTGTCATCTGTATATCTGAGGTTATTGATATTTCTCCCTTCAATCTTGATTCCAGTTTGTGCTTCATCAAGCCTGGAATTTCACATGATGTACTCTGCATGTAAGTTAAATAAGCAGGGTGATAATATACAACCTTGACGTACTCCTTTCCCAATTTGGAACCAATCCATTGTTCCATGCCTGGTTCTAACTGTTGTTTCTTGACCTGCATACAGATTTTGCAGGAGGCAGGTAAGGTGGACTGGTATTCCCATCTCGTAAAAAATTTTCCACAGTTGTTGTGGTCCATACTGTCAAAGGCTTTAGTGTAGTCAATGATGCAGAAGTAGATTTTTTTCTGGAATTCTCTTGTTTGTTTCAGTGATCCAATGCATGTTGGTAATTTGATCTCTGATCCTCTGCCTTTTGTAAATCCAGTTTGAATATCTGGAAGTTCTCGGTTCACATATTGTTGAAGATTGAAGGATTTTGAGCATTACTTTGATAGCATGTGAAGTAATTGTAATTGTGTAGTAGTTTGAACATTCTTTTGCATTGCCCTTCCTTGGGATTGGGATGAAGATTGATCTTTTCCAGTCCTATGGCCACTGCTGAGTTTTTCAAATTTGTTGGCATATTGAGTGCAGCACTTTAACAGCATCATCTGCTAGGTTTTGAAGTAGCTCAGCTGGAATTCCATCACCTCCACTAACTTTGCTAGCAGTATTGCTTCCTAAGGCCCACTTAACTTCACACTCTAAGATGTCTGGCTCTGTGTGAGTGACCACACCATCGTGGTTATCTGGGTCATTAAGATCTTTTTTTGTATATTTCTTCTGGGTATTCTTGTGACCTCTTCTTAATATCTTCTGCTTCTGTTAGGTCCACACTGTTTCTGTCCTTATTGGGCTTATCTTTGCATGAAATGCTCCCTTGGTATCTCTAATTTTCTTGAAGAGATCTCTAGTGTTTCCCATTCTATTGTTTTCATCTTTTCCTTTGCATTGTTCACTGAGGAAGGCTTTCTTATCTCTCCTTGTTCTTCTCTCGAACCCTGCATTCAAATGGATATATCTTTCCTTTTCTTGTTTGCCTTTAGCTTCTCTTCTTTTCTCAGCAATTTGTAAGTCCTCCTCATACAACCACTGTGTCTTTTTGCATTTCTTTTCTTGGGGATGGGGATGGCCTCCTGTACAATGTCACGGACCTCAGCCCATAGTTCTTCAGGCACTGTGTCTATCAGACCTAATCCCTTGAATCAATTTGTCACTTTCACTATATAATCATAAGGGATTTAATTTAGTTTATACCTGAATGGCTTATTGGTTTTCCCTATGTTCTTCAATTTAAGTCTGAATTTTGCAACTAGGAGTTTATGATTGAGCCACAGTCAGCTCCTGGTCTTGCTTTTGCTGACTGTACAGAGCTTTCCCATTTTTGGCTGCATAGAATGTAATCAATCTGGTTTCAGTATTGACCATCTGGTGATATCCATGTGTAGAGTCATCTCTTGTATTTTTTGAAGAGGGTATTTTCTATGACCAGTGCATTTTCTTGGCAAAACTCTGTTTGCCTTTGTCCTGCTTCATTTTGTACTCCAAGGCCAAACTTGCCTGTTATTCCAGATATCCCTTGACTTTCTACTTGTGTAAATTTTTGATCCAAAGTTGCTTGGATCTGTGAATGTGGAACCCATAGATCTTGAGGGCCAACTGTGTCAATTTACGTTTTTGAGGATGGCAGCACTGCTCTGAGTAGAGGAATGGTCATGTTTCAGCTGTGAGCTCATAAATTCTAACACCAAGTTCTCATACCTTGTAGAAGGTAGAGCTAGTTATTATAAGTAGCATTTCTAATTGTCTGACAAAAAGTGTGCCATAAAATATTTATTTTATCATGTTAACTTAAACAGCTTTTATAACTTTTGTTAATCTTGAATATTTCTATGAAGCATGAAATTTGGGCATAAAATACTACCATACCAATAACAATGTAATTTTATATCATGAATCAAATATTTACAAAATAGGAAATATAGATACAGAGAGAAAAGGCACTTTGGAACTGTCAAAAGAGATTACTGGGTTTCATTTCAATTGTATGCTGGGCATTGTCAGACTCTTCCTTGATAATCTGTTTCTAAAGAGTGTTCATCTTTCTAGCCTGTTTTACAACTGTGAAATTAGTTCTAAGTAAAAAACTAAGAATAGTTATATACAGTATATAATTTTTCTCATTACAATTAGAATGATTCATTAACTAGAGATATGACTGGTTTATGTTAGAAAAGATGATCTCAGTCATTATATTTATTGTCCTATAGTATATTAACCAGATTTGGATTAACCAATTTATGTAAGTTTTCCTGGTGGTCTACACGCATACACACAGACACAAACATACAAGTATGTATGTATATGTATATATATATTTGTTCTTCATACTTCCCTTTAAATCTTTTAAATTTGTTACTAGTTTCTTCATTAATAAGGTAAATAAAATCTTTAATCTGTGTTCATTTTAATTAATATTGTAGCCATGATTTTATCTTTTGAAAATTATATTTTAGTTTTTTCTAATATGAAGCAAATGCATTTGATGAAAAGCAGAATGCTATTGGGAAAATGCTTGCCAATTTTATAAATTTAGAGTCAGACACACAGGATTATCCAAATTACCTGTGAATCTGAATAAGGTGATGAATGAAGTTTAGATATCCTTCATCTCCAAATGATACTATATCCATGAGGATTAAAACAATATTAAGTTCCTCATGGATCATCAAGTTTCTTTTTTTATAGTTCATTGAACCATGCAATGAACCTGGAATATCTGGATTAAGAGGTACTTTAATACTGAAGTTAACTTTAATATTAAAGTTAAAATAGTGCCATATTATGTAATGTTCCTCAAAGAAATTTATGTCCAATAGAAGATTAGAAGTATTCCAAGCACTAGAATATATTCCATTTGTAAAAGAGAAAAAAAAAGATATACACTTACACAAGCACATATACAATGCTTGTATTGTACATATACAATACAATACAATACATATACAATGCTATGCAAAATTATTAAATGTTCCCCAAGCAATAGTGAAGGACAGGGAACCTGGCATGCAGCAGTCCATGGGGGAGCAGAGAGTCAGACATGACTTAACGACTGAAAAACAACAAGAAGCAGTATTCTTTCAATGTATCACATATTTAACTAAAACTCAGAGTGAGAATGAATTATCAGACATATTTGCAACAGCCCTTCCCTCATACACTATATTGAAGAAAATACGTACAGTCTGGACTAGTTTCAAACTCAAACTTGCGACTGTTGGTCCCATATCCAGCTGCGGTCCGGGCTCGGATTTGGAATACATATGTAGTATCAGGCTTGAGGCTACTGATGGTAACATTAGTGCCTCGTGCCCTGAGAATCGTATAACTTGTTTCTTGTTCCTGCTTTGAGGTAAGAAAAATCATGTTAAAACCGAGTCTTCTTAGTCATGTCAGAAGGTAAAAAGCTGAACCCCTCTAAACCAGTTCTTTTAGATTTAACACAGCTTATATGATGGATAAGAGACGACAATTGTTTAACTCTCTGAATGTAATAGAGGCATTTTTAAGCTAAAAATATTTATAGAATGTCCTGTCTTTGATAAAATAATCTGTTCCCTGCAAATAATGCAGAAAAAATTAGTTTTCATTTCTGCCAGTTAATGAATATGTGGCTGAAAATAAGTTATCTTCAAAGCCAAAGCTGAATGAAAGCTTCAGTCTAATTTTAAAAATAAACTTTCAAAGAGGAAAATATCCCCTGAATTAAGCTTAACAGGCATGTCCTACTGATTCTCAGAAAATATTTCTAGTAACTTTAAACTATTAAACTTAAAAAGGTCCAAGTTTTATGCACAATTCTACATTAATAACTTCCTTAGTATCAACTATATTTGCAATGTGTTTAATATAAGTCACTGTGGTTTAGTAGAGATGAAAATCTTCAGATAAATGTTTAGAAATATTTCCCCAAAGGATTCACATTGTACATTGGGAGGTTCACATTGCACATTAATTGTAAACACTTTTTGTGTCAAGCCTTGTTTATGAAAATTGACTTTACATAGAATTATGTTTTTCCTTTAACATACAGTAGTATATAAGTACTTAAGTTCAAGTAATAGTGGAATGTCCCTGGCATCTGGGGTGGGGCCTGGAATGGGTGATATAGAACAAGGTATATCCTCAACCCAAACTATATAGAATATTACAGAAAAAAAAGTCATGCATTACATATACTTTTTAGCTAAAGATGCTGATTATGTATCAGATAGCATTTGAGTTAGTATATTAAATAATGAAGAAGGCTGAATGTATTTACTTTACAGAAGTCATTATTTTATGTGTTAAAAAATTTATTAAGCATATATCTACAACATGGTTGTGTTCATCATTGTTAATGAATTAAATAGTCAAGAACTTGACTAGTCAAGTCTAGTCAAAGTTAGATCTTGTAGGGCATAAATCTTAGTGAAACATTCAAAATATTTCTAAGTATCATACATAAATATTTGGAAAAATTTTTTATTTTAAAATTTATGAATATTTGCTATAAATATTTGTATAAAGTATATTTAAAATAATATTACACATAAGTATACATTGACTTTAAAATGCTTAGACAATAAAAATAGATTCAGTCACTTTTTCCTGTGCTAGTTAATATTGTTTCAAAATATTGTTTTATGCTTTCTTTGAAATAAGTTCAGAAAATATTTTATGTCTGTAAAAGATATGAATGTAGGTTAGTAGTATTTCTGAATCAGCTCTACAGAAAAGCTGGGTGTTCCCTGGTTCTGCTGTCCAGTCTGAACTAAGGTGCATGATTAATTACCTTTTTATTTTGTTGTATCATCTATAAATCATGGATTCTTATATTTGTTATCTTGCCACATTTTTAACAATAGAAGATTATGATCAAATGGGTACTTGATAGTACCACAGTGGATCACTGAAAGCTAGGAGGTAATTTATTCATATTACGATTTTGGCACAATGAGGTTTCTTAGGTCTCACTTCCTCTCAATCAAAGAGACATATCCTTTTTCCTGTAGGGGGCAGTATGAAAAAAATGGCATCATACTTGTGAAATACTTTAACTTCAATAAACAGCATAACTACATAGTGCAGAGAAATGCTTATATGTTAGATTTTTTTTTTTGCATAACTGATCATACCACTAATTCTTACATCACTTAATGATCCATTTTCATTTAGAGGAAGATATGCAATGCAGGGGAAAACATATTACATGAGGAGTGATGGCTGTCAGAATTCAAAACAGAGAACTAATGCTTATTAGCAGTGAGGTTGTGAGAAATTCAAATGTCACTGACTCTCAGTTTTTGTAATTGTAAAAGAACCTATTTACTCACTGTCATCAGATTATCAAACAACTCAGCATAATGCATGTAGAAGTGTTCTGTAAATAGACGCTATCAATACACAATTCATTTTAAAATACTTTGTAAACTGCAGCAGATAAATGAATATGTTGTGTTCATATTAGTAGCTATGAAACCACCCAGCTCTATTGATAAGGTTTGAATACATCTTGTTTTCAAACCTCACCATGATTTATAACCAGGGAGAAATAAGTGGTACTTAGAGTGATGAAATATCATGGCCTGAATTATCCTTACAAATAATCATGTACCTATTTTTTATAATTGTATTACCGAACACAATTTTATAATGTGAGGCACACATACTCCCATCTTCTAATCTCCTTGTACAAGTAAAGAAAGCTTTAATCATCAACTCAATAATATAATGGTTTTGTTATCAGTTCAACATTCCTATCTGTATTGAGTAAAATTCATGTGAGTGTGAAGGTCAGGAAATGATGCTTAATGCAATGAACTTAGGAATAGTTCATCAATAGATAAAGGAATTGCTATACAATGGTTGCTTAGAACAGGGGTCTCCTGTGGAAGACACAAATGTCATCTCTAATATCATAACTAGATGGTTTACATTCGATGGTAACATCTTTGCTATGACTTATTGCTCTGGAATGGGGGATATTCAATACAATAACTTCTAAACCCTCCTCTACCTATAAATTAAAGGTAGCACACGACCAGAGTTCTACATAGAGCTCTTTCACTAGCAAGCAGTGTCATTAGTTTCTTTGCAAGAGTATACTCATGAGAAAATAGCCTCTTTCCTGACACAACTCAACTCTTTTAACATTCTCTCCCCCACCTTTTCGTAGTATTTGACCTCATAGTCCAATATGATCCCATTAGGGTGTTCAGGTTCTTGCCAGGATAAAGAAATGCTGTTTCTGGATGTCCGATCTTTCTTAATCGTCATGACGGGTGATGGAGCTGTAAAGAGAGGATGGGAGGGTTTGATGGGAGAAGGAAAATTAATTGGATTGGGAAGGGCAGTAAAGAAGAGCAGAGAGGGAAGGGGACAAGCAAATGGAGCCTATCATTGTTCTAATCTTGGCAAGAAAGCACTATTTCCATTTCAAAGGCTCTTGAGTATTAATCTGGCCCCATATCAAGCCTCAGCAGCTGGATTATAGCCCTGGTACATACAGGCCTATGGAAAATGAGCTGAGATTTTCAGCTGCTGGTGGACTAGTGGCAAGTGAGCAGATGTTTTCAATCTGCTACTTGCATACTATCCATAAATGCACTCTGGGTTTCAAATCTCAGTCTTGGTACCCTGGCCAACCAAAATCCTCATTGTGAAGTTCAGCAGCATTCTTCCCTAATGGAATGCAGTAAAATAGATTACAAACATGAAACAAACAAAAATCAAGAATTCCCAGGAACATTAACTGTTGAAGTGCTTTCATTACTAAAGGACATATTTTTATAGATTTTTCTCAAATCAAGGATTATTAGAACCCCATGTATTTGCATTGCCTATAAGAGCTAGCAATAGCTGTTTCCTATATGTGGATCTGCTGTTTCTTTGATTATCAACTATCATTATTATTATTAACATTATTATGATTATCTTGCCAGCTTTTGCATCCAAACTGTCATCCAAATTATTCCTGTCTATAAATGCCTTTCATTTTATTCTTCACTTAAAAATAGAGCTTTCATTAAACTTGCCTTGTGACACTTCTTTACAAAGTATAAACTTAAAGCATTTATTATAGCAAATTTTCCATCTTCTTATTTCTACTATATGAAATATCTTATGTATTTTTGTAATTAAAGTCTCATTATTTTAATGGCCAGGGGATGATCACTTAATTTTTTTCCAAAATAAAATGTAAGTGTTGCTTCTATGATGGAAAAGTAAAATCACTTCTTCTATCACATTTCCCTCCCATTAACAATTAATATATTTTCATGAGGCCTTCCCTGGGGGCTCAGTTGGTAGAGAATCTGCCTGCAATACAGGAGATGCGGGTAGGATCTGTGGGTCAGGAAGATCCCCTGGAGAAGGGCATGGCAACCCACTCCAGTATTCTTGGTGGAGATTCCCATGGACAGAACTCTATGGCCGGCTACAGTCCATAGAGTTGCAAAAAGTCATACACTACTCAAGCAACTGAGCAGGCATGCACACACGGATACTTTCATGTAACTGATATCATTTACCTTTTATGTTTGCCTTTTGTCTATTCAATATTATTTTATTTTTCAAACTTGCCTCATAATAATCCCAGCCCTAACACTGAGGCAGTTTGCTGCTCTGAAATTGATTTACACTAAGGATAAGCTATTTTACACATATTTAGTTGAAATTTTATAAACTTATTCAAAATTTATAATCATGTCACTGAAATAAATAGCAGGTATGTTAAATTTTTAACAATTAATTTCTTTTTATTTACTCTAATATTAAAAAAACAATTTATTACTTTATTGTTACTAGAATAATTTCAGTCCCAATATCTTTGCTAATAATTTTGCTTTTTTCTGTACCGAAAAAAAATGGAGAAATTTCAACAAGTTTCCTCCTGAAGTATATCCATTAATTGAATGACTTCTAATGCATGCTTCCAGAGCATTTCAAAGAAGTTGAATGTTGGAACACTATCCTATTAAACCCATGGAGACCCTCCCTATTTAATTTCATATCATTTGAAACTGGTTTATTTTTCTTAACAGTTAAAATATATTTTCAAAGAAGTTCTGAAAATTACCAGGTATAGCATCTCTCCTTAAAAAAGAAGAAAGAGAAAATAATTTGTTTCTAAGAACAATTGTGAAGAGTATCAAATAAATTTTTAGTGAATGCTTTCCAGGCTCTTTTGGGGAGCTGCCTAAGTTTTACTGCTTCTGCCCTGTGCAAGACTTTATAACTGCTGAAATTCTTCAAAGGTCTTTGAGCAAGCTGCAGGGCCTTGCTGGATTGTAATAAATAGCCTTTTGTAATTCCACACTTACTTAAGTAGAGGCAATTGCTCGAAGCTTGTGCCATCTCTAAGTTAAATGAACCCTTTCTGATTGCCGCTTTTAGGCCCCTGTTAAGTCATTTGTTCTGCTCTTTTAATACACGCCCCTTGTGTTGGCTGCATTTCAGTAGTTTCAGAACAGTGCACCAGCTAAAATCCCATTATGCTTAGGTAATGCTCATCAATATTTTAATATTAATAAATAATTAACAAAAACTGTTTTTCTATCCCCTAATAAATAACTTTAAGACATAATAAAATATACTGTAGGAACAGACAAATTCCATGAGCACTCCACTGTATCCATGCTTTCTAAATGGTTTTCTAGAACACTTTTAAATTCATGTCTTAAAGTATAATTTACCCATACTTGCTCATATGTTGTAATACAATTTGTAATATTAACGAGAAACAGTTTTATGGATTACACTTTTTTTTGTTAGTTTTCAGATATCGAAGAGTGATTTGTTCAAACTAATTTTCCAAATTCATCAGTTCAGTTCAGGTCAGTCACTCAGTCATGTCGGACTATTTGCAACCCCAAAACCGCAGCACGCCAGGCCTNTCTGAATGTTGAGCTTTAAGCCAACTTTTTCACTCTCCTCTTTCACTTTCATCAAGAAGCTGTTTAGTTCTTCTTCACTTTCTGCCATAAGCATGGCATAAGAATTTCCAAATTCATAGAAATTCTTATTTTTCTATATAAAAGAACCATAGTACTCCCAGCTGGCTCAGTGGTAAAGAACCTGCCTGCCAATACAGGAGACTTAGGAGACACAAGTTCAATCCCTGGGTTGGGAAGATTGCTTGGAGTAGGAAATGGCAACCCACTCCAGTATTCTTGCTTGGAAAATCCCATGGAAAGAGGAGCCTGGGGTCTACAGTCCATGGAGTTGCAGACAGTTGAATAAGACTGAACACACACACACTGCAATGTATATCATACATTTGACTTATTTCCATTTCTGTTTCTTTTTTTTCCCTTAACTTGTGACTTGAAAGAATGGTGGGTAATAATTGGATGAAAAAAAGTCTTCAGATTAGAGAAATGCTTGGAAGGAGAGTGAAAAGTTACCCAGGAGGATGAGGAAGCATACACTTTTCCCTAGCAAAGTGCTGGTGTAAAAGCTAAAACAGGAATTCCTGATGAACCCTCCAACAGCCCAAGGTTAAAAAATTTATTCTGCTGACTTGCTTATATACCTTTAATGATATATAATTACAAGGATTCTCTTACTAGTAGGAAGAAGTTGATGACAAAGTAGGCTGCTATGAAACAGGTCCAGGAGTTTACACACTGTAGTAAATGAATAGTTTTGTAGGGGGAAAAAAATGAAGAAATTGGTAAGAAGAAAAATTAAGACAGTAGAAAGGTAAAAATTTCCAGTAAGTCAACGACTTTTTAAAATAATGTCTTGGTTTTTTGTTGTGTTTGAGGGGGAGCAAATTTTCGATCCTTTGTTTTTGCTATTCTGGGTGTAATTGGATATATGTGCTCTTTGGAAAATAAAGAAAGGAGATATGATATACTTGGTTAAATTTATTTTTATGAAAAATTTATTTTATTTTTCAAAATAAAAATTTATTTTTAACTAAAATAAACAAAGTAAACTTTATTTTTGACTGAAATATTTCTTAAAAGAATATAAATAAAAGAGAAAAATAGTGAAGGTTGGGAGGAAAGAAAAGACCAATAAATCAAACCGTTAATCATCTTCCATGAAGTTTTTCTGAACTTACTCTGTACCACGGAAAAGTTTTGAATACTGTGAATACTTAAAAATTTCTTAACATGTGGTGTTGTAGTGAACTCGCTCATGCTTTTTCAATTCATTCTTTTAAAATGTTCTCAGGTCATGATACAAGACAACAGATTGTTCACCCCATATTATCCAGTAAAATGTGTTTTGTGAAAGCTAGTATCAAAATACTTTTCAATTTCTGTACTAAGGAGACACACCTTTCTGAGAACCTTTCTGAATTATTCCTTGAGTATTTTCTTTCCTATTTGCAGGCCACTGTGATGGCCACGTCTTGAATCAGAGACATCAATGACTAGTCCAGAAGACAGAGATGAGCAACCCTTAATAGTTCATAATTGAACATTAATTATTTATTTATAGAGGACTGGTAAGATTTTCTTTCAATATGAGCCTAACCTGAGCCATTGACTGTATCTAATGCAATAATAAAAACAAACAAACAAAATTACAACAGGGAAGCAAAGATATTAGGCTAAGAAAGGATTCTTTGTAAAGAGATCTGGGTAGAGATGGGGCTTGAGCAATTGACAATTTGCATTTTAATCACACAACACTTGCACAGGTCAAATATACTGACGGACATGGACGGGCTTCATTATTTTAACTATGGTGTTTTTAAGCTACATTTACTACTATTCTGCAACTAAAATATGATCCATCCTTAGAATCAGGAAGTCAAAACTTCAAAATTCAATTCCTAAAGGATCTGGTTTGGTTCGTTTGTTTTTATTGGGACTTTCCTCTTTCTGGGTTTGGGAATTTCTAATGAACCTCTGAGGTATCTCTGTGGTTTAGAGATTGGACAAGTTAAAGTAATAACAAAAAAGGCTCAGTTTTTCTAAGTGAACCAAAGCTTTTAAAAATTATCTCCATGGGAAAATATCATGTAGTAAATGGTTGAAAGATTTTTCCTTTGAATCAGGCATGCTTTTAAACACATTACTCTCTTATTTTTTTTGTACCATTCATTACAATGCCCACTTAAGAACATTTCCTCCTGAGTTTTTTCAGAAGTGAAATTTCTATTAAATCCAGAAACACTCTTGAGTTTGAATGAACATAATCATTCATAGCTTAATGTTTTCCATTTCACCACCCCTGTCGTGATTTTCCCAACTTGTTGTTCTCCGGAATTTCCTGTTTTGGTCCCAGGACTCACCATTTTTACAGTCTAACCAGTTTGAATTTCAGTTAT